CATCCATCCATCCATCCATCCATCCATCCATCCATCCATCCATCCATCCACTCATCCATCCATCCATCCACTCATCCATCCATCCATCCATCAACTCATCCATCCATCCATCCACCACCCATCCATCCATCCACCCATCCATCCACCCATCCATCCATCCACCCATCCATCCATCCATCCATCCATCCATCCATCCATCCATCCACTCATCCATCCATCCATCCATCCATCCATCCACCACCTATCCATCCATCCATCCATCCATCCATCCACCCACCCACCCATCCACCACCCATCCATCCACTCATCCATCCACTCATCCACTCATCCATCCGTCCATCCGTCCATCCGTCCATCCATCCAAGCATCAGAAACAAAATCTGGGAGGATAATACACCAAAAAGAACGCAGGGGTAGGATTCAGTGGAGGATTACAGGAACTGTTATTTTGTGTTTATGTGTTTCCTAGATTTTTTTTTTTTGCAGCAAACATGTATTACTTTTATAATAAAAGATAATAAAATAAATCTAAAATATAGCCATTTTCTTTCTCAAAGCCGACTGCAAAGAATCACAAATGGTTTCCCAGATTTATTTCCTAAAATGTCTGCAAATAAGCTTTGCTCAAATTAAGCACACTTGTAACTATTCAGCTGCAGTTAACAAACTGTCAGTCGCCTGGAATTCCATTCCCTACCTCAAAAAAGGAGGAAGAAAGGAAAAGGAACAAACCTCCCCCAGTGGACCCTCTGGCTACATAATAAAACACAGAGCCAGTCCTTCAGAAGGGTCTGGAACGCTGGGGCCCCAGCAGGCAGAGCATGTGAAACACAGGCTCTCAGATTGGACGCTGCACAGCCTCATGGAGAGATGGGGAAGCCAGGCCCGGAACCAGGCTCTGATGTGGCCTGCACACTCACTGACACTGCATCCTGTGCTCCCTGCACTGCAGTGACACTGGTGCACTAATGGGAGTCACAGGGACACACAGCACATCGAAGGAAACACCTATTGTTCCATAAAGCACATGCCACACCCTGGAGGTGCAAGGCTGGCTCAGGCACAGGGCCTGCCCTTGGGAGCTCATCTTCCAGGCCCTCGGCAGCTACGGCTGCTACAACAGGCTGGGGACAGAACCCAGCTACACTGCATCCAGCAGCTCCTCTCATCACTTTTGAATCAGAAAACAGCGTTTAGGACTACCCCAGCCTCTGGAAAGGGGGGAAAGCCCCAAAAGAGGCAAGGGGGAGGCTCTCCAGTCTGTGAATGTACTCTGCAAAACCTCTGCTGACCCCTGAGCTACAGCTGTGCAGAGCAGATGAGGAAAGCCCAGCTAAGGCCAACAGAGCAGGACAAAGAGTTCAGATGTTAATGAACCCCTCAGGGAAGGAAAAGATTAGATTTGAATATAGCCAAGTAAATTGGCTGCTAAAAACAAAAATTCTTCAGAGGAACATAACAGAATCCCTAGTCTCTAGAATGCAAAATTTACTATATCCAGGATAAATTCCAAAATTACCAGACTTGTGTGTGGGGGGGAGCCCCAGGAAGCAGTAATCCATATTCAAGAAAAAAAGTAATCAATAAAGACCAAACTTGAGATGACCTAAATCAGGGGTGGGGAATTTCTGGCCTGGAGGCCAGAAATCATCTGGTCTGGCCCTGCCAAGACCTCACCAAAGAGAAGCAGTTCCAGCCATCACATTAGAGGGGAGTTAATTAAATGTTTGACCAAATATAGCAGACTAATTTTTAAGTTGATAATTTTGCATGGCCTGCAAATGATGTTATAAATATCCAAATGGTGCTTGGTGGAAAAAAGGTTCCCTACTCCTGACCTAAATGTTGGAATTATCAGATAAAAAATTTTTAAAGCACTTAAAAATTTAAAACCAGTGTTTGAGAATGTAAAAAACATATATACTCATAATGAATGAGCACATAAGAAATCTTAGCAGAAAACAGAAGTTGCAGTAATGTATTGTGTGTATAGTGTATGTAAAAATATGATGTATGACAGAAATAAAACAAAGAACAGGAGAGAAAAATTGGGAAAACACTGTTGCAAAGTCCTTACACTTGATGTGAATTATTATAATGTTATTTAAAGGCAGACTCTGATTAACAAAAGGTGTGTAATGGAATAACAATGCTCAATTTATCCAAATTTCTTGAAATTCTGCAAACTCTACAGGAAACATATCAGGGGAAGAGGTAGGTGGACAGAGAAGGAAGGAGAGGGGAGTGATGCAAAAAGGCAAAGATCTTATTTTGGGGGACAACCTAACTCAAGGTACAAAATTACTTTAGGAAACATCTTCATAAGAACATCAATTCAGTAAAAGGAGATAATAAAACAACAAAATGAGATGGAAAATACAGTGGTAGACCAAAGGAAACACCATTATAGAGGTAATAAAGTGGACACAGCAAGGAACAGAATACACCTTGGAAAGAATCAAATTACAGGTGTCGATGAAAGAGCTATGGTGGTCACTGTGAATCCCGAGGACAAAGGGGAAATAAGGGCACTGAGAAAACGTAATCGATGCAGGCGACAGAGACAGCCCAACGCAAGGATAATTCCCGCCACTGAAGTTAAAACCTGAAAAATGAATCAAGAGATTCAGATACGTAATATTACTGCAAAAAAACCACCTCGACATAAAGAAATAACTAAATCTGCAGATTGAGACTATGTTGTGTAAAACTGTAAAATTGATACAAAAAGCTCAACACCAAGACATAACCTGCCACACTAGTGAAATTCGTGGATATGTAATTCTTTAGGTAGCCAGTTACAACCAGGGAGCAAGTCAGGCAGACTCAGTACCAGAAAACAATGGACCCAGGTCTGTGACCTGAAGGGGGAAAGCGTGACCTGTGGATATGACATGCGGCCAGAAAAAGAGACACCCAACCTTTTCCTTAGTTCCACTTCCACTTCCAGTCTTCTGACACGCTCAAATAAGAATAAAAACTTACATAAAACAGCATAAATATAAGCCCACTTTTACAGACGCATTTCCTTCTATCCGTCCCTGCTCTGCACAGGTCTGCACGGACCGGTGCCAGGGTTAACACTGGCAGAGGCTATGTGCTCATGGTGGGAGGACTGGTCTGATCGTTGACTTTGTCTTTTCACTGCTCTGCATCTGTGCCCGCCTCACACGGCTGCAGGGAACTAGGCTCACAAGCCTAGTGCCTGGCACAGAACAAGTGTTCATTAGGGGGGGCCAACTATTAAGCTATCAAACTGGAATATGAACTTCTTGGTGATGACCCCCCCCCCGCCCCAGCCAGGCTGGATGCCACCTACATCCCACTTGAGCTCCGCACAGCCTGTGCTTCAGACAGGCTTGCCCTGCCCCCTTCCCAGGGCCTTGGGCTGGGACGCTCGTTCCCCCAGTGCTCCTCATGTGTGCCCTGCAACCCTGGTCCTGCAGGGTGCCTCCCAGCTCGGCCCTCCCTCCTCCTCCCATGAACATCGGTGACATGGGCTCTTCTCTTGCCGTCAGGCAAATAGTTTGTTTTGGAGCCAAACAGTTCATATCTCGGCTTCACCACAAACTAGCATCCCAGGTTCAAGTTTTCTCATCTGAAATGGGATCATAAAACCCATCTCACAAAGCTATTGAGAGAAATATAAGATTAAGGTTTATAAAGTATCTACACAGAGCACAATAAGTAGTTGCTTTTTTAAAAATTTATTTTTATTGCTGCTATGTGACGTTTTATCTCACCTGCTCTATTTAATGTTATACACACACACACAATATACCTGCCCTATGTTAATACACACACACACACACACGCTTCTTAAAGGTAGAGTCTATTACTTGGGTTTGTACTCAGTGAAGGGCCTAGCAGTACAGAACTTGCACGTGAACTGACAAAAAGGGCAAAAGTCCTTGGAAGGTGACCTTGTTTATACTTCCCCAAACTTGGGAAGCTTTAAGAAGCAGAGCCCTGGAGTCTGCTGTAAGCTCTCCTGGTTAGTGAGACCGAGCTAAAATCTGAGATCTGTCCTTTTTAAGCTCGCTGGGAGGCAGAGCTGAGGATCAGGAGGCGCTCAGGAACATTTGCTGGGCTGAACAGAGTCGAAACCAGACAGCAACAGCCCAGCTTGAGTGAGCCAGTCACAGGTGGTAAACTCTGAGGCAGGACGCCACTGGCCTCAGATGACTAAAGGACCGCAAGGGGGAGTCTCTGATGGCATCCCTCAGACATGCGTCCCCCGGGGAGTGGCCCTGCCCTCCGAGAGCCATCAGCAGGTGGACATCGACATGGCTGGGATAAAGGAAAACCTTTCCTTCTCAAGGTGATAAGCCTGCAGAAGCCTGGCTGGACGTGTCCCATATAACTGTGTCAACTACTCCACATCTGCCCTTTTGCAGTAAGATTTCCCCGTCATTAAAGGAATGCCTGTTCATTATCAAAACCTTCTGAGAATATGGAAGCAGCAGGAAGAGCCAAACGGCGCCCAGGGACACGTCCCTTAAAGACAATCTGCACTTTGGAATTTCTTTCCAATCATTTGCTGATATTCCACGTACGTTATCCACGTTCCTGTGACCTCTGTGGAAACCATGGCTCGTGGCTGCCACTGCACGTGCGGGTGGACGTGCTGTGGCTCACTCACCCCTTTCCTCTCGTCAGACATTCATGTTACTCTCACGACTCATGACTGCAGGACTCCTCTGCAGATAACGCACTTTCCATATCGACACCCTTTCCTCGGGACAGGTGCACAGGAGAGGAGCAACCGTGCTCAGGCTCCTGAAAGCGTTAGCCACGTACTTAAAAAATACATACCTTGATTTCCCATATAATACCTGAGGTTTAAGTTATTATTTATACTGAGGTGCTTCAAAAAGGCATTATAGTCCACCGCGGAATCCTTATCGATGCTGTAATGTTCTGCAAACCTAGAAGAGAAAAGCCCTTTAGTGGTCAGAGAACATGACACAGAGATGGAAAATGAGGCGAGTTTGTTCCTAAGGCAGCCTCCACGCGGGGGCTGGCGTCCATCTCAGTGCGTGTTTCCAGCTAGGGCTGGGATACAGGTGCCCCCTGAGAAATGTTACCCCTCATTTAAAAACGCAGACATCCCCGAGGAGCCCCGTTGCTCCGTCTGTGGGTGGGTGATGGGGTCCACTGGGACAGGGATGCCTTGGGGCCCGCTTGGTCGTCTTCCTCCGGCAGGAGCAGGGGGCGGCCAGGCTGTGTGCTGCCCGGGGGCCACACCTGAACTCAGGGCAGAGAGGCACTTTCGTTTAATAACTGGGGAGAATGGGGCTGGGTCGTGACAGTTTCTCTGGCTAAAATTTCAATAATCAGAGAACCCTAGGGCTGGGAGGAGGGGAGAGCACGCCCATGGTGTTGACCAAGTGTATCCTTTCACCAGAGAAACCGAGGCCGAAGTGACACAGCGTCGAAGTGGTTCACTGCATGGGTGGGGTGGGGGCACTTTCCCTGGCACATGCTCTAATTTCTATATATAAAGGGGAGATGTTTAAGCACGACCCACATTTCTCCCTGAAATATACTGAGATACTCTTTTTTTTTTTTTTTTAATTAAGATAAATAGGACATTTGGAATTTTCTTCCAGTCATTCAAATCTGCCACCTGATACATGGTTTTCTAGACAATTTCTGCATTATTACATTTATTAAAAAATGACGGTTTTTAAATGTTTGCTTACATTACCTCCATATGCGTTGGTTTCTATAATTATCTGATTTCATGCTGCTTTCTAAAAATTTAGTAATTATCACTTAAAGTATTTGCTGTTTTTCTGTTTTCCACATTTAACAAAGAGTAAGGTCACGTGTTCGTTTCGCTGTGTACCTTTTTCCACTTTGATGGATCTTGTCTATTGTTCTAGTAAGAAAAATCATCTTGAGCTACGATAGATGCCAGGTGTTGGCACTGAATCTCCCGGGATGCTCCCTCTCTCACCCACTGTGTCTGTGAAAAGAAGGCTGCCCTAACGTTCCCTGTTTGAGTCGCCAACCTCTGGACAGCACCGGCGGCTCTGCTGCCGCAGGGAAACGTGGGGACACCGATCGAAGTCTCGTCTCCAGCTTTCTCGTTTGCTGTGAAACCAGTAATCCTTCAAACTGTTTGCTCAAAGAGAATCCTGACCTTTCCTAAGGCCTGCCCGGTCCCGGTCACGATGCTCGCTGCATGGTCACTGCGCACAGACAGAATCCGTGGTGACATCTCCTACAGTTACAATTTCACAAGCAAAACCTCAGTCCCACTCAAGCACATGTATCTCAAAGGGCTTTTTCAGAGGAATAAAGGCCTGGGAGACAGAACCGTTCCCAAGAGGCCACAACCAACGCCGTGTTCCCAGGGACCTGAACTCACGCGTCCACAGAGACCTTCAGGCAAGTCGGTCGCACAGGAAAGCAGACTTTAGGGGCAAAGGGGAAGACACGAGCTGACCCATCAACCGCTCCACGTTCACCAGCTGGGACAGAGCCTTGGGCTTCACTCCTCGGCTTGGGCAGCAGACTGACCTCTAGTGAGTGGGTGAGGTAGGGAGTTTGTTTTCCAAGCTGCTCATAAATGCCTTAACCTGGGTTGTTCCAGTACCCTGGCCTGCAAGGCAGTAGAGGGGAGGGTGGTGCAAGATGGGAATGAAAAAAGAAAGCCCAGTGGGTCTCGAGAGAGTCTGATTTGATATAAAACCTGGTGACAACTCTCTCACCTCCTGTTTACATCGGCTGGATGGTGCTCTGCGGCCGACAGAGAGCCGTTTACCAAGGAGTAAAGGGAGCTAATGGAATTAATGCGGTTATAGCATCGTCCCTGTGAACCAAGCACCTACCATGTGCCTGGCGTGTGGCAGGGGTGCTTTGTGCGTTACGTGAAACCTTCACGCCAGTCCTGCCAGGTGGGCTCCTCAGTCTCCATTTCTTTAAGAGCAAACTGAGTCTCCGAGGGGCCCGGGAAGCTCCTGAGGCCCGAGAACTAGGGAAGACGGAGCACGGATCTGCCCCCAAGCGTGCCTGACCTTGCCGCTCAGGCCATTCCTATCACCCCAAGGGCTGACATTAAATAGAAAGCTGTTACATTAAAAAAGAGAGAGGGAGAGAGGGTTCAAAAATGCATTGTGTTTCCTGCTCAAAAACGAAAAAGACAAAGTTAATGCTGAAGCAGCTTCCCGAGGAGCAGGCACATTCTTGAGCAGCGACAGAGACGCATTAAAGCAATTGAGGAAATGGGCTGCTTTGATCCCCGCTTCCCTTAGCAAGCCTCTCACGCCTTATCGGGAGAACGGCATTGTTTCTGAGGCTTAAAAAAGTCTCAAACAAAAATTTGCGGAGCTGTTTATTATTCAGTACTTGTGAGATGGGGAAGCAGACAGGAACATTCTTTGCAGATTTACTAGGCTGGAGACCGCAGTGCCAAACGCAGGGTTATTGTCCAATGGAGCGGCTGTGCTCCTCGATCACTGCGTCTGAGCGCGCCGCTTCTGCTCCGTAATTGCGCACAAAATTATTTAATTTGTTTTGTTTGGATCTTATTTTGGACACTTTCCCAGCCGGAAACATGTAAAAATTAAAACATCTATTATGGCTTTTATATTCTGGGGTGGGTGATAAAGGGGAAAAAGAGATTATTCAAAAGACTAGGAAATGGCCATTTTTTAAAGGTCTCCTGCTTTCCAGGCCCCGCAGGGCCTGTGCCGGCCTCATGCCCTCTGGGCTCCCTTTGCTCCTAAACGACAGCCTGTGAATCCCGCGCAAGGAGCCGCAGCGAGCCGTTTTCACAGACTTCAGCCGCAGTGCAACGCGACACTGAGTCTCGGGGGAACTACTGAGTCTCGGCACCTCCGCTGGTGGCCCGGAGGCTGTTTCCAGAGCTGGGGGAGGCAGAGGAGCGCGCCTCCGGGTTAAACGTGGACCCTCCTAGTGGCTTCCCGGGAATTCGGAACTCAAGCAACCACTGAGGCCAAGCATCCGGCGTCCTCTGAATGATCCGGAGTTTACCAGAGGCTCAAAGCAAACACCGTGCCGGCCTCTGCACCCCGCCCTCAAGTCAGGAGCACGTGGCCGTGGTCACACGCCAGAAGCAGCTAAATGTTCAGCCGTTCACTGTCCCCTGCAGCAACGCCCCAACCCCAGTAGGAAGAGTCCTCAGAGAAAATTAGGTCTCCGTCCCTGTGTCAGGATGGAGCGCCAACAGGGAGCACATCAACCCGCAAACAGACGCGGGAAACTGTCATTCTTTTCCTAACCGCGGACTCTGAGTGAAAGTCGGCTGTGAGCCGCAAACGCAGGGGGCAGAGGGCGTGGTGCCAACCCGAGGAGCGAGGCGACGGGGATGGGGATGGGTTCCTTCAATCCAGACGCGTGGCGTCCCGGGCCAGACGACTCACGCCCTAGGGTGCTCAGGAACTTGAACCAGCAGCTCTCCCGTCTGGGAATCCCTGGGGTGCTGCGGGAATGTGGGTGAAGCCTGGCCAGTGTGGCTCAGCGGTTGAACCGGGGGGGTCACAGTTCGATTCCCCGGCAGGGCACAGGCCCGATTGGGGGCTCGATCCCCAGCAGGGGGCGTGCAGGAGGCAGCTGATGGATGACTCTCTCATCATTGATGTCTCTCTCTCTCCCTCTCCCTTTGTCTCTTTGAAATCAATAAAAATGTATTAAAAAAAAAAAAGACTAGTGGAGACGCAGAAGGCGGAGGGAGGGCACTGTGCGGACCCGACGTGCCCGACGGGTCCCACGCAGAAAGCGGTTTGCAGTCCTCGGGGCGGCCCCGGCGCCCGCGGCTCACTCACCTCCCGTACTCGTCCTCTCTCATCTTCAGACAGAAGGTCTCCAGGAGCCTCCGCAGCTCGAGCGGCTGGACCCGGCCCGTCTTGTTCACATCGAGGAGCTTCAGGGCGTTGATAACAGCTTTGATGTTTTTTAAAATCTGTGTGTAAAAGCAACGTAGGAAAAGTCAAAAGACCCAGTGCTGAAAACCAAAATGGTAATAGGAATGTGAAAGTTTTTAAATGTTTCTTGTAAAATAAAAACGTTTTCAAAGACTCACAGCGGTGGGTATTGCAAAATGGCATGTCTATGGGAAAAAAGAGCACTTTGCATCTATTGAATGTTTTCAAGGCAATTTTGGCTATAAATGGTCTTAGTCAGTTTTAAAAAAAACAACAAAACTCTGATGTAAAGCAATAAGTCTCATACACAACTTATTCCCTTTGAATCCATACAAAAGTCTTTTCTTGTTAACTGATACTTATAAACTCCAGTCCTGGCGTAGCGGAGCCCCTACAAGTTTTATTTCTCATAGCCACATGCACACTGTTTTTACTAGGAGCTGAATGAAAACTATGGCTGCGTATTTCAATCCCCCTGAATTTTTAAGAGACATCAGAACACAGATTTACAGAGACCGTCCCGGGACTCAGTGAGCACATGCTTCCTGTCACTCACCGTGAAGGGCACCTGGACAGGCCGTGGAGACGCAGGGAGCCGAGCAGAGCACCTGCCCTTCGGCTACTGATATTTACGGCAAAGAAACGTCCATCTGGCTCCATGTGTGCCCAGTATAGAGCCACGTGACCGACTCACGTGAAGGCAGTAGGACCGTTTCCCCGTTTTTAGGTAAAACAGTGAAGTTCAGGGAGGCTACACCACCCAGCTAGACGCCGATAGAGCTGATTTCGACTCAAGCCTGTCCTCTAACCATACCACCCGGCGGAGGAGAGGAGGCACTAAGTAAGTACATGGTGACCAAAGCTGGGGCACGGCAACAGGACCCAAATAACAGACAAACGAGAAGCTGCGGGCCTTCCCGGGAGAGAACGGCACTTCCAGCCAGGGCCATCTTGGGGGCTTCTTGCAGGAGGTGGCATCTGGGCTGGAGGGGGTGGCTGGGGGCTGACTGAGCCAGCATGGGGCCACCTCCCATGCTGGGGGAGACGGGAGGGATCTGCACGGTGGGACGTGAGGCCGGGGCCGGGACTGTGGATGGAGAGTGGGGAGTGGCCCGGAGGGGGAGACTGCACCCTGGAAGGTCTGATTCCACTGTCTGGTACTGGGCCAGACCCAGTGCGGCCTATCCACGCGCTCTCTGACCGTTGGCTTCACCATCGATTCGGGCTGACCGAAATCCACGAACAAACTGCCTGGTGGTCGTCTCCTGGGGGGCCACCCTGCTCACGCCTGAGGGCCACTGAGCGGCCGTCCCTCCCCTTCCCGCGCCCACCTGTCTGGCTCCCGCAGTCCAGCCACACCCGACCACTGCTCCTCGCGGCTGCCAGGTCCTTTTGCCTTAAGGTGTCTGCATGTGCTGTCCCTCCGCCTGTAACCTCTGCCCAGGTAGCCACTGGCTGCTGTCCACTTCACCTGGGTCCCAGCCCACAGGCCGTCTTACCAAATGGCCTCCCGCAGCACGCGTGGGAGACAGGACCCCACCCCACCCGCTTCTCTTCTCCAAAGTACTTCTGGCCGGAGAATACAATGCTTGTCTTTACTGCGTCTGGTCTGTCTGCTCCCGAGAGCAGCTTCTGCTCTCAGCTTCCTCTCACCTGCTTGGAGGAAAAGCCACCCCTGGGGAGGCCTCGTTAGGTGTCTCAACACCTCCCCCGGGCCAGCCGGCGTGTAGTAACAGGGTAGCTGAGCGAACATTAACTGATGGCCGCTACGTGCAGAGTCCTAAGTTCTATACTCACCTCCCACTCCAACAGCCAGAGAGCACCAGCTAGAAAGTCTTACTATCTGAAACTGGGACACCAGGTGAGAAGAGAGGGGTGCGTCGGCTGGGGGGTGTCCCCCCACGGCTCCGTCATTTTGTCTGAAAGTGCAGGCCCGGCCACGGGAGCACGCCACGCGCTCCCGTGGCTGCGTGAACACCTCAGCACCCGGTCTGCGGCCACGCCCCGCTCACCTCGCGGGGGCACCGAGGGAGGAACGGAGGACAGGCGGCGATGTGCTTTTTAAAACCCCGGCGCAGCCCATATGGGCGCGCAGCGCGGAACGCCGGGAGCAGCCAGGCTGGCACGGGCGCCCACCCACCCGAGCAGCGCCTCCAAGTCTCTTATCATTTGTCAGACTGAAGTTTGGCAAGATCCGCTCGGAGCCGCAGATGGCGAGGCTTAGCAAAGGCAACCTAGCGAGGGCCTCGGTGCAGACCTGTCCCCTGCGGGACGGGAGGGAAGCCGGGGACACAGCACGAACACAGTGGCCCTGCCCCTGCCCCTGCCCCGCTCCCCTGCTGCCCGGGGGAGGGAGACGGGGCGGCGGAGGGGAGGGTACAGAGCAGACTTCGGAGGGCGTGGGCAGCCTCCAGCTCCTTCCTAGGCCAGCTAGACACCTGCCATTTGGGGGTAACTGGGACAAGTCTGCACCAGGAGCCAACTGTCTCTGAGCCTCCCGATGCCCCGGCCCGGCTCACACTCACTCCTCTCCCCCCCCAGTCCTGGCTCCAGCCGCACGGAGCCACGTCCATTCAGGGCGTGGTGGGGTCTCTTCCCACTAAGGCAAGTCCTCACTCTGCCGTCAGCCCTAGGTAATCC